AATCTCTCCAAAAAAAAAAAAGCATTTCTGAGAAAACTAACCATATTGTATTAGCACACAAATAATTCAACAATGGGAGAATAGATACGATTTTTCAGTGTGGAAAACATGAAAATGCTATTGGGATATTAGGTAACCATCTGGGAAGAAAGGAAGTTAGATTCATAACTCACACTGAGTATCAGTGTGTATTCAAAATGCACTAAAGGCTTAAATACCAAAGTCAAACTCCGAAATGTATTAGAAGAAAATCTTGAATAATTATTTGAGTATTTAGTATAAGGAAGGCTTTTCTAGCTATGACTCCAAATTTAGAAGCTATTATCAGAAAAAAATTGATATATTTAAATATATACATGTGTGTATGTACATATATATATTTATAAAATAAAATTTATTTATTTGTTGTTTTCAAGCCAGCAGGTCCAGAACTGGAATTACATCTGGCCATGTGGGAATCTAGTACCTTAACTAACATGCCATCTGCTGATTGCATTCAAAAATATTTTTAATAAACTCTGCAAGTAAAAAAACAAGCATGAATAAAACACCGTAAGTAAATTCTAAAATACAAATGGTATACTTATAAAAAGTGTGCAACTTAATGATATACTTTAGGGTTTAATCACCCTAATAAATGAAGAAATTCCACAAATTAGTAAAGGAAATATCAACAAATCAGGACAAAAAAACAGGTGATATGAGCAGACTGTTCACAGAAAGGGAACTGCAGATGATTTTAAAAATACACGAGAAGCTGCATCTTTAATAAAAGAAAACATCAAAACGACATTCAAATACTACTTTCTACATATTGTGTTAAAAAAATTGAAGTCCGATAGCATACTCTGTTGAGTAGGCTTTGGGAAATGAGCACTCATACTTGTGAGAGTGTAAGCTGGTAAAATTACTAGTGAGAATCATTTAAAAACATCTGAATTACTTATAAATGCATAGACCCTTTGATCTACAATTGTCACTTCCAGGAATTTATTTCACAGCTAAACCTATACAAATAACTGATGACAAGGTTATTTTTTGCAGCGTTGTTTAAATAGTAGAAGTGTGGAGTCTATCTAAATGTTTCCATTACCTGGGGTACAGATAAATACATTATGGTACCTCTCTATAGTTAGAGGGGAGAACCCAAAGTCCAAAATAACATAAGTATTATGCAGCCATTTGGGTGATGAGGGGGGATATAGAAATACATATTTAAATTTGCTTTTATGTGCATAAAATAACTCTGGAAGGAAACTGATTTAATAACTATGGTTGCCTAGTAGAAAGGGAGAGGGGAGGACAATTGAGCCCCTAACTCTGACGCCTTGACTTGCTTGACATGGTTTTGGAAAGATGCCTTGTGTACATGCTACCCTCATCACTTAAAGGCTAGCCAGCCTGCCTTCTCCCCATCCTACTTTCCCTGATTATTAATATCTCATTAATATTAAAGCAAAGGGGAAAACAAAGTAATGGGGCTTATTTGGCTTAGTTTTATTGTGCAGTAGGTCACCCTCACACGATTATTGGCAGGATATTCTAATGTATGAATGAGAGGGGAGGGTGAAGAAGAGAAATAAAGACATCGAAGGCCCCTGGGGTGAGGAACTGAATGTTTACCTGTGCCTGTCAGCTCAGGGATATCTCTACTGCATCATGTTTGAGTCTCCAAATAATACATAGTCTTAGTGAAGGACTTAATGTAGAATGTGATTAAAAGGAATAAATAAGAAAAGGGGATAGAAGAGCAATGTACAAAAAACAGGAGAGGAGGAGGAAAGGAGAAGAAAGAGAAAAATGTGTTTGTCAGTAGAAATGGCACATTAGGTTTAAATGAGGCATTTTTCTGGTTTTTATTTTGTTTTGTTTTTGTTTGTTTGTTTGCTTGTTTGTTTCTGTCCTACATTATCCTGATAATGTGGTATTAGTTGGATGTAGCATTTTTTTTTTTTCCCGAGAAAGTGAAATTTTGAAAGATGCCTCTTGGCAAATCCCTTTCACCAACTCCTTTCCCTTGAAGTTGGTGGGGTTGAGTTAGCACAGGCACTTCCATTGAATCCTTGTTGCCCTCGGGAAGTATGTGCTGATGAGCCGAAACACAATAATGAGAGTAAGATTCGTATTTTTCTATGTTGTTTCATCATGAGTGACTTTTCTTATCTAAGTGCTTATTTGTGTTCATGCCTGGGTCCTTCATGGTATATAGAGAAACCTCAGCAGCAGATAGAAAACAGGGAAAAAGCTTGAACATAGTCAAAGGCAAATCTATTTATGGTAAAGATGAAAAAGGATTGAAAGTGATTTTCCTGGTACCTCATTCCACAGCATCCTGATGAAAAGAGACTGGAAGGCCTCTCCAAGCAACTGGACTGGGACGTTCGAAGCATTCAGCGCTGGTTTCGACAAAGACGCAACCAGGAGAAGCCAAGCACGCTGACCAGGTTCTGTGAGAGCATGTAAGTTGTCGGTTTCTTCTTGAACGAAAAGCCTGCCTAAGTACTCATGCTGTCTCTGAGGTGAAAAATAGCACAGCAGTGCAAGCTCCAGCAAGCCTTAAAAAGCATGCTGTCTGGTGGGAAAATCATTCAGGAGAAGCTGGGGGAACAGTAGTTTGTGGGAGCTTGAGACTTCCACTTTGGATGCAGTAAACTACTTCCTAATGGAGTTCCTACAAAGTAAGCAGATCACAGGGTCCTACAATGGTATTTTCAACCAGCCATCTTTGAAGTATAGCATTAAAGGTTATTACGTTACAGAGGCTGATAGTGTGAATTTTAATAGAAGGGATTTAGTCAAGACATCATTTCTACTGATAAAAACTGAGATTACAGAATGTTTTACCTGACATCATGACAATGCCTTACAGTACTGGAGATTTGACAGTACCCTACAATACTGGAGATGTAAGCAATGGCTATATTATTGGGTCACTGGGAAAGCCATGACCCATTTGTGCATGGAAAAATGGGTCATGACTTCCCCAATGACCAGGTATAATTCCTGGGTGAATTAAACAAACCATTGCTTAAAGGTGAGGGATAGAATGAAAGTGTCTTCCATGTCTGAAATACGAACTTTTTGATGTGTAAGTTATATTTTAGTAAAGATGTTAAAAATAATAAAAGGCCCACAGAGAATGTATTAATTTTTTTGGAGAGATTTTTGTTATAGGGTGCATGCACTCGCCAGAAAGAGAGAGAGACAGAGAGACAGAAAGCGAGAAATCAATCCCCCCACTCCCCACCCCCGCCCCGGAGGGATGGCCATGGTGCAATCCCTTCTTCATTCTCCTCTTAGGATCTTGGGCACACACACACACACGCCCAGCATGAGTTTAAGCCACTGGGTCTGGGATTCGAACATGGGAGTCCAGCGACATAGCCATTATGCCAACCGCTGGTCCCAACACAGAGAATTTTTTCTAGCGCTGTGTTGATTTGAGGTAGGGGGCCCTATTGATATCAATACACTCATCTATAGGAGGAGCAGAAAAAGAAACATTAAAGCATTCAGCACATTTCTAACAAAGGGAAGGTCCTGCCTCGGGAGTCGTTAGCCTGTTTGGTCTTCCTCTTTAGGGACATAATTTTCTCTAACAATTTTTTCCTTAAGTGGCTTTTTCCTGCCCTCTGGTCACTTAAACAACCGTGCTATTAGTGTGGCTCCTTTAATTGTAGGCTTTTTCTATTTGAGGTTAATGTTGCATTTTCGGGTTTGGCTTTCAGTTATGCCAAAACAGTATTTTTTTTTTTTTTCTTTTAAGAGAGATTTTTGCTTAAGGGTGCATGAGCTTGTCGGAGAGGCAGAGAGAATCAGAGAAACAGAAAGTGAGAAATCATCCCCGGGGAAATGGCCACAGCATGGTCCGTTCTCCTTCATTCTCCTCTCGGGATTTTGGGCACGAAGGCACACTTGCCAAATGTGAGTTTTAAGCCACTAGGTCCAGGACTCAAAATGCGGTCGACTACATGGGAGTCGCAACGCAACCATTACATCACCTGCTGGTCCTGCCAAAATAGTATTTTAACAATTACAATATAAAACTTAGAGGGAAACCTAGATTTGAAATAAATGGGAAACAACACAATATAGATTCCCAGGGCTGAGTAAATGTGGAGAACGCTAATAGGGTCTTCATGAGGTCAGAATATTTATAAAATCTAGAAATGCAACCCAATAAATATAATCTGCAAAGTGCTTCTATAATTAAACTTAGTGGCAGTTTATGGAAGAAGGATTTATGCATGTGAGCTTCTGAGCCAAAGTCAGAAATTTCTTTTCAACCTGTGCCGTCACATCCCAGTGATCAAGCACACACAGAGCAAGGGTTTGATCATCGAGCCGTGTACCTCAGCAGGGATAAAGTTTCATCCTGGAGCATGCCCACACGCTAATACTCATGTGCCTTCTTCTCTTCCAGTTGACTTCTTCAGTAACTCTGTGATTGCCCCGGTATGCTATACTGAGTCAATACCAGTTTCTCTCAATATTAATGTGCTTAGACATCAGCTACCTGGTGGTCTTGTTAAAATGCAGATTCTGATTCACTTGGTCTGAGATGGCAGCTGACTGCATTTTTAACAAGTTCCCGGTTATTGCCGGTGTTGCTGGCCCATGGACCATACTTTGAGTTGCAAGGGCCAACACCAGACCGGTGTCTTGTCTAGGTCTTCTTCCTGAATTCAGCTGGTCATATGCACACCACAGTGAACAGGATGGTCATAGGTAGAATCAGTTTAAAATATTTTTAAATGGTTGTGGTAGGCATGGCAGTGTGAGGTACAATGGTGGTGAGCGAGTGAGGCGTAAAGATCATTATGGCCTCTTCCCTCAAGAAGCTTACTATGCTAGTATCTTAACATCATGTCTGAGTATGTGTGGGTTGATGATATTTACTTAAAAATAACCAGATATGTATGTAAAACTATTGGTATAGATAGTAACTAAAGAGTAAGAAAAATGTTCAACTGTGGGGAGAGGCTGTTGCTGGGACTAGATCTGGGTCATGCCATTGGCCTTTGACCTCTCTGTTGTATGGGATCATGCTGATGACCCCTTCTTTTGCAATATTCTTCTCTTTTGGCTTCTGGGTTGCAACTGGATACTCCTTCTTGCCTCTCCAAGATCTTTTTACATAATTTATTCTGTATTTCCCCCAGGGTCATTAATGTGCTTCTTCTCCACATGTGGTCTTTAAGCTCTTACTCTCCTTACTCTACCTTCCATTCTCTGTGTAGAACTCATTTCTTTTCACCAGCTTTTTCCAAAGCCCTGTGTCCTGTGCAGGTGTTTGTTTTGCAACATGGTTCTGTCTCCATTGGAAATTCTGCTTTGCTTCCATGTCTGACTTCCCCTTTTCTTCTATTGTTTATATGCTTCTGTTTTGTTATAGGCTGTAATTGCAAACTTAACAGTCACCGAGTTCCACTAATTCTTTGTAAATCCACCACTATAGCCCAGATTCTAATTGATCTCATAGCTCATACTCAGACATCATCCTCATGTTCTTTTGCTTGAAAACTGTGGTGATTTTTCTTTAACTCCAGGGGAAGTAGTGGGCTCCTTAGCCTGATAAATGGAATCTGGCCTCAATCTGTTTGATTTCGGTCATCTAAATGACCTCTTCCTGCCAGGGGGCTGCATTTTCCCTGCATGACTTGTTCCTGCCATGGTTTATGCATTGTTCCTGGCATGGAACATTTACTTCCTTTGCCTCTCCTATTTATCCCCTACTCATTCTTCAAATCCAAGGCCCTCTCTGGTGTGGCCTGACTGTTGAGTCCATAGTCAGCACAACTCCTCCTGAATCCTTAGAGCACTTATTCTAAGTACCAGAAATTCCATACTGAATCATGCGTTTCCTTATGTGATGACTCAACCTTTCCTAACGTGACTATCTGTTTCCACTACGGTTTTATCATAAGTGTTCTTTGAAGAGCACAAGACCCATATCTTGTTCTTCTTTCATTCTTTTCAGCCTTTATCACAACATACAAACTCTGCTGAATAAATATTTATTGAATGACTGAATGTTAAAATGGCATTGTTTTGGAAGAAATTGTTCATCTCAGTTGCCACTTTGCCCCCCACCCCCACAAATGAGGAAGCCTTATATAGACTAAACTTAGCATAGAATTTGTCTAGAAAGTTTATGTGATTATGGAAAACTCCATAACAGGATTTTTGTTTATTTTGTCATTGGGCTTCTGTGCTTCCCAGAGAAACAGGTAGAGGGAAAGTGAGAAATTGCTACTCAGGGAGGGTGGCCACATTACAATCTATTCTTCATTCTCTTCCTGGGATTTGGGGCACACATGCACATGTGCCCAGCGTGAACTTTGAGCTGCAGGGTCCAGAACTCAAATCATGGTCAGCCGCGTGGGAGGTCCAGCACCTTAACCACCACCACACCACCCACTGGCTTTCCATGATGGTTTTAAAGACAGAAATTAAGAAGGAGGAATGGCAAAGGAGACCATTAGAGAATGCCATGAGGCATAAAGTAGAGTGATCTTGGTTTATATATGCACACGTGTGTGTCATAGTACCTTAACTGTAAAAAAGATCAAGAATAGTTGTACTTAATGAGGGCTGCATTTCATAATCATCTGCTTTGCATTTCAAAACACAATACCCAGGTCCTACCCCCAGGGTGTCAGATTCAGATCAGTGGCACAGGTAGGGTATAGTTTGTATACATATCAGAAAAAATGCCCCAAGTGCCGATGACACACATCCTTAGTTAAGAAAAGTGATGACTGCTGTTCAGAAAGACTAAAAATCAAATTAGAAAGCAAGAGAACAAAAATTCGGAGCTTATATTAACTAAGGCCAAAATATAAAGAATCTATAGTTTTTTATTATTATTACTGTATGCTACTATTTTTGAAAATATAGATTCCCCTCAGGGGAACTGTGTTTCATCTTTCAGTAGGATAGTGAATCGTACCAATATGCATGCCAGAGAGTGTATTATGCATTTGCTGCGTATCCAGTTTTGGGCACGTCCATTTACTGCCGATGGACCAAGTGGAAGAAGTGGCTCAGCAAGTACTCTGCTCAAATGGTGACATTAAGTTTTTCTCTTGCTTGGTGTCAGTCATTCACAGTCATGTCAGTTTTTTTTTTTTTTAATTTATTTTTTATTTTTTATTTTTTGGAGAGGTTTTTCGCTATAGGACACGTGCGCTCGCCAGACAGACAGAGAGAGACAGAGACAGAGACAGAAAGCGAGAAATCACCCCCCAGGGGGGATGGTCACACCGCAATCCCTTCTCCTCCATTCTCCTCTCGGGATCTTGGGCACGCACGCACATGCACCCGGCGTGGGTTTTAAGCCACCAGGTCCGGGACGCAAACCGCGGTCGACTACATGGGAGTCCAGTGACATAGCCATTACGCTAACTGCTGGTTCCTCACAGTCTTGTCAGTTTTGATAAATATTCCATCCGGAAGC